ATGGCACATGGAATTTTTGCTCCATTTTAGTGTAAAAGAATAATATAACACCAAATCTAGTGTTATACTTTTTCTTTACATCAAAATGATATGGAAAATGAAGTGATGTCGGAAATAACACCACCATGAAAAAATGAGTTTTGAAGTAAGGTTACAGATGAATAGAAACTTCATTACTCTAAAAAAAATAAAAAAATAAAGTTTACAAGCAAAAATCATTTATATATTAAATAATCTACTTTCGTCTAACAAAAAATTACATGTCAAGATTTGGATTCGGATTTCGAATTAAACATTGTGTCAATGTTTTAAAAACCGATTTGAACCGGCCGGTTGGACCGTGAACCGGAGAATGAGCGGTTCAACTAACATCGGTTTTATGTTTTTTTCTGAATCGGAATGAACCGGTCGGTTTTTATAAAAATCCGGTCGACCCGGTTAAATTAAACCGGTTGAACCGGTTAAATAAAATAAAAACATATGGAAATAAATTATTTTCATAACAAACTTTGTTTTTTTCACATCTATTTAGATTTTTTTGAATAAAAACACACAATAAATGTGATAAAGTTTTTTAATGCGTTTGTATTCATTTAAAATTATATTTTGTTTCTTTATTATACTTTATTTTGTTATTGATATATGTGGATTGATATAAAACTTGGGCTTATGTGTTTTTAATGTATTTGGATTGATCTTCAATTTGTATTTAAGTGTATTTTTAAGGTTTAAACTTGTGGATGTCTATGTGTGTAGGAAAATAGAAAAAAAGATGAAAATATAGAAACCGTTTGAACCGACAGTCGAACCGGTTGAACCGCGAACCGATCACCATACTGGTTCAACTAAAAAACTGGTTTTTAAAACATTGCATTGTGTACAAAGAATAAAACGAAAGAGAGAAATTTGAAGGACATACCAAAGTTCCGAAGAACAAATCCCTATTTCAATAAAAAACTAATTCGTTTTTTTTTAACCAATAAAAAAATGATTGGAAACATATATTAACGATACAAAGAATAGTTTAATTGAAAAACAAATGACTAAACATTCCGGATTATAGATTAGATGAAATTTTAAAAGTGTTTGTTGTAAATAAGAGAAATCTACACATCATATATCCCCGAAATCCGAAATGGGTATATTTCGAAAATAGCTTCCATTTCGGGAAATCACAAACAAAATGATAATTTACCTATTTCAATAGTTATGTGGTCCTTGTGATTACATCCTTTCTTCCAATCAAACGTTATGATTGGCTAAAATATCTCCTTTTTCCATCTATTTCTATGTGTCAATGTATGATTCAAGCCACTTGGAAGTACTTGTTTCTTGTCAACTACTTATTTCCTTTTCACGCATATATTAGAATCGTAAGTAAATTCATGTCTGTCTCATCATGAATTCACTTTCATTCTACAATCAACTAAATTTTAACATTTTGTCTTTGTTCTACGCATTATGCATTTATGTGTCATTTCATTTCATGTTTCATTTGGTAATAGCTTCTGTATTAAGATTATATAAAAACAAAATTAATGGGTCCTACAAGTAACCTCGTGAAAAAATCTACCGTGGCATATTTTACATAAAACCAAAAAATAAAAATTCTGGGTGCTTTGAGCAAATTACATAGAATAAAGAATATGCATATCATTTGTGGGGAATTTGATTCATCTTGATGTTAATATTTTGCAAAAAGGTTATATTCTTCCTGTTATCCAAAACAAAGTTGGCTCACACTATCTCAGCCCCGTTTGATAAACATCTTTTCAGATTCAAACAGATCTTTTTGGATGAATAGGTCAGAAAGATATGTTTTTTCCACAAAGCCCTAAAACCATATATTTCTAACTGAATGAGTTGAAAATACTATTTAATTTGCATAAAAAATAGGTCTTTCCCGGTAAGATATCTTTTTCCCACAAAGCCCCAAAACTATATATATCTGGGTGAATGGTCCGGAAAGACAAATGTCCCCCAAGCTCCCAACTTCGTCGCCGGCCGGCCAGCCTCTCCTCGCTGGAGCGCCGTTGCAGCTACCAGCTCCACCCCACAGGTAACTGTCTCATCTCTTATTTTTTTTATTTTATTTTTTTCTGATTTGTTTCTTTAATTGGAGAGTACTAGACGTGAACCTTCATTTGTTTCATCTTATTTTCTTTCTTTTAATTTTCGAGCATAGGATTTAGTGTAATTTTGATTTTGCATGACAATTTCTATTTGGATTTTTAAATGATTATATTGTGTAATTTTGATTTTGTATGACAATTTGTAGGTTTTTATAACTATTCAGCAACTTCATCCATCACATTATAGAACAACACGTTAATATAGTCATTTTTCATTATTCAGCACAGTCAGATGTACAATTAAACAACATAGTTTCTTTCTCAGACAGCAACTATCAAACGGACCATTATTCTCTGAAAGGTACCACCCCAACAGAGTCTTCCAGGTCAAAACAAAACCGCTCAATGAAAATTCAAAATGAAAAAAAAAAAAAAAATCCGAATTATATTGAAGCGAAAGATAAACTCAGTATGCTACTACCACAAAAATTCGGTAAAAGTAGTTTTCAAATTTCCAACTACGAAACCCTAATTCCAAACTCCGAATGTTAAATGATATACTAAATATTATTCCTCTATTTACTGCTTAAAATAAATATTAGAAAGTTTATTATTTCTTAATGGTTTTTAAGAAATTCAACAAATCATTACATCTGCTGCTGCAATGGCGCACGGGGAAGTAAAGAGTGAAAAAGAGCTTCGTTCAGCTTCACTGGAAGTGGTGGCATCTGCCTTAGTTTCTCAGGCGTGTCACTTAAACTGCAAGAATCAAATATTAATTTTAGATCTATTTTCATATAATTGACACAAAATTATATATAAAAATTACAATTCCAAAAGGAGGAAAAGTTACGTGTTCAAGATATGTCGAATGTTTTTTTGAACTTGGTAAAGGAGACTGATATTCTCAAGTACCTGTTGCAAGGGCAATAAACAGATAGTTGGTTGCTATTATGAATAAAAAACAAAATACATAGACCATATTTTGATAAAGGTATATAATTATAGAATGACATTTGCTATAATTGCGTAAAACAAAAAAAGTGTCTTATTAGGACATTATACTTTACAAAATTAACTCAATTATAGCAGTGGAAATTGTTGTTTTTGAATGACATTTACTATAATTGCACAGATTTTGCAAAATACAATGTTGTAATAGTTTGCTATAACTGCTTAAATTTCTTAATATACAATGTTGTAATAGGAAGATTTGAAAGTAGGGTGTTATAATAAACAAGTAAATGAAAATAGTTGAACCTTAAGATGACTTACCTGATGAGTCTCAAAATTTGCAGAAATCTGCTCTAGAGCTTTTGCGCTTTCCTTGAGAAGTTGTCCAGCTGGACTGGCAAGAACTGTAAGCAGTATAACACCAGTGAATCAATGGATATAAAAAAAAACAATACAATTTAAGAAGAATATTTTTTTAAAAATTACAACAATAAATAACTAAGAACACGCCAGTAAAAGATTGATAAATTAGATAAGGATTACCAATTTACCATTAAACTGATGATAAGGTTAGAAAATGCTAAAAATAGTAGAAAATGCAAAGTACATTGCTACTAATGGAAAGTACATTATTGTTTTACACAAATTATCCAAAGGTTACTTGCTTTAGTTCTATGATTAAAATGGCTTCAAAATTAAGATACAATAATAAGAGTCAAAGAAAGAAGTCAACTAACCACTGTAAATTATATCGTTTTGATGTCCATTTCCCACCACTTCTGGAGCATATGAAGATGACCCACTTTGAGTTGGTAAATGAGATGTACTTGGCAAATGATCATTCAGTATTTCCTGTATAGAAGAAAATCAACATTTTTATATAAATTTCCTTAAACTCCCAGAATAATTACAGGTATTTGTACGTCAATTTTAAAATTACTGATATTCAAAATTAGGCATAAGATAAGTTTCTACAAAAGGGTTATCTTCCGGAAACCCTTGAGTTGACCTTCACCAGGGGCAAAACGGTCATTCTTCAAACAACCCTTGACAAACAAAATTACTTGTTACCAATAGGGGCAAATCAGCATTGTACTTTGCTTGAGTTGCATTTTGCTATTGGGTATAAAGATTTAAGCAAGTTGCTATTATAGTTAAATAAATGTAAATAAATTGCTATTATGGTAAAAGCTAAAAGAAAAGTATGTTGTTATATCCTGCAATTTGACATTACTAAAACATACAAATATAAATAAAACTACAAGCATGCAACCAAAAAGCATCACAAGAAAAAGAGATTATGAAATAACAAGCTTACCTTTCTATCTTTACTTTTCCTTGTCAAGATGTAATCTTCTTTATTTCTTTTGCCAATATTCCGTTTCTGTTAATACAGAATCAGATCAAAAAGCATAAATTAAATATTAACTTTTGAGATTAACATAGGCAGAGAGATATTATTTTGAATGAACATAACATATTGCATTTCACCTAAATATAAAAAATCAATCGTTTTGTTTGTACAAATATAGACAATGATCACATAAAACTATCGTTTGCCTAAAAACAAACAACTAGAAAGGATAGTTACAAATGTGTAAAATCTCAATGGTTGCCTAATTAGCACATTGTGTCAATAAATACATAGTTAATGTAGTACAATTGATCGAAGATAAAATGTACAAGGGCAAAGTAGGAAATGCATGCGCAATTAAAAAAAATCAAAAATGAATTTATTAAACTTACAAACATCCATCTGCACCTCAAAGCCACTTCCCGCACAGTCTTGTTTTGTAATTGCACAGCAATCTTTGCATAACGGATGATGTTTGATTCAGATGCATACCTGAATTTTTATATAAAAGTTAATACTCGAAACACTTTTTTAAATCTGAAATTTATATTCACATGTTTGATCTCGATATTTGAATTGGATGGGATATTAACATTAACATAGTGTAATACAGAAAGAACGATTTATATAGCTGGCAATGGGTCATGGATCAGGTTGGGTTGAGTCTGGGTGGGTCGACTTTGTTTCATTAAACGGGTTGAGAATTTCAACCTAACCCAACTATAATTACTAAACGGCTCAGATTTTTAACCCAACAGCCTATTAGATAAACGGGTTGACCCATCTATTTTTCCCCTGCCTAACTTGACCCTTCAAAGTTTACATAAATTTGAAAGAAAATTGTTTAGACTTAATTATGGAAGTTACAATTTACAAACCCAAATAAATTTTCATATGGCATTTTTAATTTCTAAGACCTTAAGGGTTTTTTTGTATTTTTTTAATTTATAAGACTAAAAAGAATACAAGAATAAATTAAATAGATATTTAAAATTGATGGCATCAAATCGGAAATTTCAACCCTAACCCAACTTATATAACTAAATGGATTCATCTAGTTAAATAAACGGTTGAAAATCTTAACCAAACAAGCTAATGAGGGTTGGGTCGATTTTTAGTACTGTTTTTTGAAGGGCAAAAAACACTCATTATTAATGGCATATCAAATCAAATCAAATGACACTAATTATAGGGGCATAACCTTATTTTTAAAGACATCATAAGAAAATATTAATTTATCCACATTCATGGTATATAAGATGTCTTGTTGACCTAAGTAGATTAATTAAAAAAAAATTATTAAGGACTTGTTTCAGATATATCTAAACTATAAGCATAACATGTATTCGAGCAAGGTTTTAAAACCACATGTTGAAAAGCACAATGAAGGCAGACAATATCCATTAGAAAATTGCACTTCCCAATGGTAATGATTTTTCTTTTATTTAAATATTGATCACTTTCATGTTTGATTAAGCCCTAACTGCCCACAAAATCAAATTTAAATCAAAGTTTTTTCCTATTTATACAAAGATTTTCCCTTGACAACAAAAAATTTAACCAAACCCTAAATGCTCACAACATTAAACTGACTTAACCCATTTTTTCAAAAAAGTACATAAAAAGAAACTTACTGGGCAAGACCATCTTCCAAAATTGACTGTTCATCGGGAGTCCAATCAACAGAAACACCAGGATTCTGCTGCAACGCCGGCTCCGGCACCGAACTGCCGCCGTTGTGACTCGGGTGAGCCGCGTCGTTATTATGCGTCCCGTTTCCAGATGGATTCGCCATTAAAACAGAAATCCTATTAATTAGGCATGCAATTACTCAACAGGATTCCCGCCAATTCTGGGCCTTTCCCACCACAACTCCTTGAAAGTTGAAACCCTGATCGATAAACTTGAAACCCTTCCCGCGAAACGAATTATCACCCGGATTTTGTTAGGGTATAAAAGAGGTTTTGGGTATGTATGTATGTATGTATGAATTTATCGATGGAAGGTAGGAGAACAGTAGCAATTTGATTATACTTTGGTGTTTTTGAGGATTTTTAGGGGTATATATTTGGTTATTCGGTGATGGTGGATGAATTTGATATGGTGAAGGAAAGTGGTATGCGGGTGTTGAGGAGAATTCAGTTTTTGCACCATTATTGCTCGCCACTTTTGCTTTATAAATTATGCAAAAAGTCGAACAACACTTTTATTCTTCTTGCTTTTCTTGCCACCCCTTGGACGTAAAACCTCATTCTCATAAATATCGCAAGATAAAGGAAAATCAAAATAGTAACAGACACTGAAACAAGAATGTAAAAACATGAGGAAATTACATATATAGCCTAATTTTTGTTTTATCTAATCCTTATTTTTTATAAAGCCTAAAAACTAATAATTATTCAAAAATAGTCCTACAAACCACAAATGATCTAACTCACCTCCGGTTTGGTCATTTGACTAAACTGGCGAGTCTAGAATAGAAAATCATTTGGTTTTTTAACCGAGTTTAACCATACCGGTTCAAGAGAAAATCAGGATGTTCCGGGTTAGTTCAATAATAATAAAAATAGATCGAATATATATAAAAGTTGACGGTGAAAGGACCAAAATCAGTTCTTTTTTTTTCTTTTTAACTAAAATCAACTTATACTTTGAGTAAGCTGGTCTAAACAAGACGTCGACAAGCTTATGGTGTGAAAGTGAGAAAGATGAATCATCTATTTATAATGAAAAACCCTTTCACCCCTTTCTTCTTAGCAGGGCCGGCCCTGAGATTTCGGAGGCCGTGTGCAATTTAACAAAAAATAGGCCATAAAACTTGAAAATCTAAACAAAACAATTGTTGCTTAAATATACTCAAAAATTTTCAGCATTGTACATTTACTTTTACGACATTGTATTTTTATTTTTATATTATGCCAGTGTACTTTAAAAAAATACACTCAGTTATAGCATTATAATCTCTAATTATCAATTACAATGATGTTATAGGAAGAAATTGAAGTAAATATAATACACAATTCAACAAAGTACGTTGGTGTTCATTGCTAAGCCTAAGAAAAAATATCAAGAAATCTGGGAATCTTGATTATTCACAGAAGCAAAAAGAAATTATCATAATTTTAATTAGTTGTTCAAAAATCAAGAACACTGTTAATATGATTGTTCATAAAAGTATCAACAAAAGTAATCTTTTTACTTATACAAACATGAATAAAAAAACCCCACAAATCTCACGATTCTCATTTTCATTCATCTATCTCTAAATCCAAACTTTAAAAATACACTCATATTTGACGTTTTTGCCCTTGTTGCTTCAATGCTTCTAAACTAGAGTACATAGAAATCAGGAGGAGTAGTTTACTTCTTATAAATTCGAAGAAACTTAGCATAAAACAAATAAAAAACAAACCTGAAAGGAAAAAACAGAAATTGATTTGTCTGTGCCTTCATAAAATAGAAACCGATTTCCTTGTAATCTTGTTCCTTATAAATTTCAAAACTAATTGATGAGTTTAAAACGTTTAGATCGATAAGATTCTTAAACAGATAAATCAAGAACACAATGCAAATAAGAACACCAGATGAATCAATGCTTATGTCGAATGATTAATCAGTCACAACCTCATAAGAACTCTATGAAGAATTGCTACTGTAGAGGTGTGCTAGGGTTACAATACGATCAAAGAGAAAATATATATCAAAAACGTACATTCTATGGTGCATGCATGCACTATGTAAAGTAAACCCTAATAAATGAAACACGGCTGGACAGGCCCATAACCGTGGAAACAATAGACCTACACTAAAGGCCCAATTACGCAACACTTCATAACCCAACAATCTCCCATTGTGCGTCAATTGAGGCGAGAGATTACTGCTGCAGAACCTGTGTGGTCTTCTTTATGGTTTTGAACAGCTTCGGTATAATAGCAAGAATAGTGCGACGAAAGTTGATATACCACAGAAGCATGTCATTGAAGATCTTCTTTGCAGCATCATCATTGGATTTACATCTGTTTATTATATCCAGAATATGTTCAAGAGCAATAGTGGAAAATAGATGCTTGTCAGAAAAGGCGAACATGCACTTTAATGGAGGAGCCGAACCTCTAACATCTTTAGTAAACATCACCGTTAGATGTTCGGTGTCAATCTTGCCCATACGCATCTTGTTCACATCACTAACATTGCCAATGGGTCTGACAATGGGCTTTTTCCTCAGAGCCGAAGCAATCTCCTGATCAAGCTTCGCTACTTCATGTATATACGATACCAACATTCTCTTTATGTGATCAAGAATGGGTTCGTACTTCTGCTCATTTTGACAACAAAATGTTAGTCAACAGAATCCAGTCATGAGGATTGAGATTCGGAAAATCAGCAAGAGAAATTTCATGAACCGAATCATCCGAAGCACGAGTAACCCGGAACTTCACATTAATAAATTTCCCCGCAACAACTGGCTTCAAAACCTTAACCGTAGTAATCTTCTTTTCACTCCAGGTTAGATACTGAGGTTGCGAGAAAGCAAGGGTAGTAATCAATCAGTTCTCTATCAACCTTCGGGTCAGGTGAGGGAACAGAAGCGATTGGCTCAAAACAATGAAAAACGAATGCCCTTCGGGTGATCGGCATATCGAATTGCAAGTCTTTAGAATTAACCAAGTCAAAGGAAATGACTGGTTCAAGCCAATGAGTACTTGGGGATTCAATCGCTTCCTTCAGCAGGTTTTCCAATGTCCATAACGGAAAAAGAGATTTACTTCGTTCCAAAATGTAATGGGCATCTTTAGCTTTCCTTTCCCTCTATTCGGTTTCACGAGTTTGCTTTAACAACTCTTCTTGATTCACATCTTCTTCTTCTCCACTTTCACCAACGATTTTCTTTCCTTTATCTTGAACTGTTGAACCCGAAGCTTCATTATCCTTCGGTTATGTGATGACACTTGGTTTAACAGGAGGAGGATGAGGATTTTCACTTGTTGGAGTTTGGCTTGTGGGGGTTTGTTTTGGTGGAGCTTGACTTGCTTCTCCCCCTTGTTTTGGAGGGACATCCGCCTCCGAAACACCCTCGATTCGGCTCAAAAGGGCAAGTGCAGGACGTAATTTTTCAGCCAAACGTCTCATGATGGTGATTGTGAGAACTGTATCATGGGTATCCAGGAGATCGACCAGAAGAGCATGAATATCAGCAACACAGGTTTTCACAACTTCACGTTCAGTCTTGAGATCAGCAATCTCCTTATGTGCTTGGGTGAGCTTGATAGATTGAGTTTTGAGCAAAGTAGCTTGTCGAGCAACCTCATCCATCACTTTATTTTCCATAGCCAAATCAGTCTGGAGTTTGTCTAGATGAGATTTGATAGATTTATTGAGCGTCGAGTGATCAGTTTGGATGTTAGAGCAAATAGTTTCAAGCTTCACTAGTTCGGCTTGGAGAGAAGAAACAAGCTTCTCTACAGAAGAATTCACTGTGTTTACATGTTGCTGCGACTCAGCTTGTAGAGACAGCAAAAAGGCTTTAGCATCGGACATTAGTTTTTCGACTTTTTCGGTCGCTGTCTTGGTGGAATCATCGACAGCTTTGGTTGCTTTCTCGATTGAAGTTTCATGCTGCTGGACCAAGGTAGCGACTAAAGCTTGAATAGCAGCATCAGAATATGCCTAAGTGGAGGATTGAGATGAAGAGGCGAGCAAAGTATCAAGCTTCTCATTTAACTCCTTGAGATGCCTCTTGGTGACTGGGGTGTCGTCATCTTCGTCACTTTGAACAGTGTAGGGACTGTAGTGAAAAGTATCCAAATCCATATCGGCGCCACCAAGAACGGTATCTGATTCGTCTGAATTGATTGGAGACAGAGGTTTTGAGGTAATGGGGGTTTCAACACCTGAAGTTTGTGCCCTCGCATCAGATGCGTTGACAGGAGGTGTAGGTACAGTAGAAGTAATGGTGGTGGTTGCTTCGGTGAATAATGGTGGTGGTAGAGGTGTAGAAGTAGGAATTTGAGTGGAAGTTGGAGGAGGGCATGGAGCGATTGAAATAGGAACAGTAATGTGATGAGGAGAAGGAGGTGGAGATGAAACAATGTTAGTAGGGATTACCTCTGGAGAGACTTCTCGGACCAAATCATCAGACTTATCTTGCTCCGGCTCTGGTTCAACTTCAACATCTTGATCTGAAGGAAAGTATTCACTGTCACTTGATGATGGAGCTTTCGCCTTGTGTGCCATCTTTTTCAGCTTTCGCTTCTTAGGAGCCGAAGGGTCTGCAGTGGAACCCTTTCGCTTCTTCGGTGTGACATGTTTAGAAGAGGGCCCTTCTTGAATTTCCTTCCTCGTATCCCCTTTCTTGCCCCGTTTGGCTGGTTTATCAGCCATATCAAGTGATTGTTGCATCTCCAGGGTTAACGGTCTCGGCCCCGTGGCTGGAAGCTTTTTGTACTCATTAATTAGCTTGTTGGCCTTTGAAACACACTGATACATAGACTCTGGAATTGAACCGATAAATGGAAATTTGGTGAAATCTGCCACAATGATTTTTGTGGTATGAAACGTAGCAATTGCAGACATTAAGGAATCTGCCATAACTGGAACTTGGAACTTCTCCATTGCTCGTTGAATGATAATCGACCAAAATCTCCCACAAGAAATCTCAGTGTGACGAGATGAAGAATTCAAACTTTGAACCAACTGAGTCTAGAGAATCGACCCATAGTCAAGGTTGATTCCATGATACATACCATAGAGAATGGTCATGAAACCCTTGCTCGCACCATCAGATCCTGCGACGCGTTCAGAAAAACTCTTTGATAGAAGAGTAAACAATCCATTCTATTGAGGAGGAAGGCCGGACTTCTTAATCTTTGTAATCGTGGAGAGAATGTCGTTATACCCCATGTTGTAGAACATCTCGAAGAGTTGTACAGTAGAAATCGAGTCAGGGTTCACCAATGAGTTGGCAGAAGATAGCCCTAAAAGAGAACATAATCTAGCATTCGAGACTGAAGTCTTCTTATCAAAAATCTCAAATAAAGTTCTTTCATCGGCCTTGATGTATTTTTCAGAAGAATAAACCTGAGAAAGGAGAGACATTGGAACAACATCGACTTTTGTAAGGGCAATCACCAGTGGTGAGTATTTTAGACATTCGACAATCTGCAGCATGTAGGGATCATACGCGTAAAGCACCAAGTTGATAATTAGATTCTGGTTGGGCTTGATTG